GGGGGGGGGGGGAGGACGTTAAACTAAAGATTAAATTGGAACGGCCTAACTCTAATATAGAATGTATATTGTCTTATATTGTCTAACATGATTTTTTACCAATTAGTAATAACAAGATAAAAAAAATGTAATAATTCGAATTTTGCATCATCCATTGTATTATATTAAATATATTATTAAATATTATTTAATGAAGTTATTTACTCAAAACATCTGACCTAAGGAAATCTCATAAATTGCGTACGTTTGAAATTTTAAAATTTAATTATTGAATTTAATTGTCGTAATAATTGATCACACGTAATTTATCTAATTGGATAGCTATCACGTGATTGATGATTCAAATCAATTATTGGCTCGATCAAATTCACTAAATTCAATACGTTAAAAATCTTAATATTTTTTTCAACGTATGGCTTTTTTTTTTGGAAAAAATATACTTAAAGAAATTATGAATATGGAGTTTCTTTACCTATAAAAAAAAATGTCCGGAAATTGTCATCGAAAATGTCCAGAAAATGTCCAGGTGCCTGAAAAATGTGAAAATTGCAATATTCCGGACGCTGAGATATTGTGAATTTCCGTAAAATACCCAGAAAATGTTTAGGAGGGCACGAGCCTGGTGTCCAGTAAGTGTCTGGAATATTGCAATTTTCCAGACATTTTTTATTTTCCGGATATTTTTGATGACAATTTCCGGACATTCTTTTTTATAGGACGCAATATGTACTAGCTATAATGAAGCCTTTAATAGCGTAAAATTAAATTATACAGAAAGAAAACAGATTATCCAAAATCTTATCGGGCTCGTCATGCACTTTCAGTTATTCATAATAATAATGGTTTTGTGAAACTTCAACGTACAGTTCGTACTGCAGGTAATTTGGTTGGCTTTTCTGATCAAGATGAGAAAATTTTATTCAATATCTGGAAACAAAGGGAGCAAAAGAAAGAAGTAAATATACCAGCAATTAAGATGCATAACAAAATACAAGCAGAAAAAATTATCAATCAAAAAAAGCATTAAAGGGTTTGATCACAGGTATTGTAATAATTTATATTCTAATTTGAATTTGTTAAAATATAATAATTATTAAATTATATAGGATTTGATTCCATATGGTCTGCAAATTCAAGAAGAGTTTAATAATAGTAAATTTGAAATTTGAATTATCCTTTGCTCCATTTATTACAATTATCTCTCAAATGCGTAGCCTGTTAATCTTTCCAAAAAAAAGTATGTTAATGGATTATGTGCGTTATGTGGATATTTAAGGAAGCATAATTTATCAAACCATATACCAAATGTGCAATACCATGAACAATCAACATCTAAATCAAGTACGGAAAGTATGGAGTCTAGCAAGATAGGTCCGATTTTTTTGAATATCGTGAAAAGCAACGGGAAAACATTATGTCATTTTCATAGGGTCAAATACACTGATTATATTAAAAACTGGTGGTGGCAAGAGTTTAATATATGCAGTTGCAAGCGTACTATCATGATGATTAACTGTAGTATTTACTCCTCAAAAAGTCTTAATGAATGATCAAGTTGTAACTTGTAAGTAATAAACTAATTTTTTTTCTTAGAGTAAAAGTCAACGTTGAAATTTGTTGAACCAAGTTTATCTTTATTAATTCTTTATTTTGCAAAGAGAAAAAATGATAGGAATGGAAAAACCAGCAGCAATGTTGTATGCTTCCTCAGCGCAAAAACCCCTAGTACAGGTAATGATCTATCTTTGCTGAAATTGCAAATGGATTGATATGTATATTATTTGTCACACCAGAAAAATATATAGCGAATTCACAATTTCGTGTTATGCTAGTGTTATACTACATATTGCTTACAATACTTGAGGTCTTCAATTTGTTTTAGATGAAGCACATTGCATAGTTTCCTATGAAGGATTTCGGTAAATTTCATTTATTATTATGTTAATAATTTAATTAAATAGTTTGAAAATCATAATAGAGATACTGGAAGAAACTAAGAATTTTAAAACGTGACTTTCCAACGATTCCTATTCTGGCATTATCTCACCATTTGATGCAAAGTCATTAAATCAATTTTAGAAAGACCCGATATGAAAATTATTGAAACTTCAATTATTTACCGTCCATAAATTGAATTCGAAGTCAGATCCAAGCCAAAAAACAAAAGGAAAACTGTTTCAAACAGTAATTAAATTGCTAAATAATCTTGAGGGACGTGCAATTATTTATGGAGGCACAGTTGGAGAGTGCGATGATATGACAAAAGCACTTAAAAAATCTTTCAATTCAAATACTACAGGAATGTATCATGGAAAACTTAAAAGTACGGAACAAACTGCTTTATCTACAAATTGGAAGAATGGGGCCATTAAAATAAAATGATAGCAACTTCAGCCTTTAGTATGAACATAAACGTAAATAATGTTACCTTAATAATTCACACAACTTTGCCAATATCTCAAGATAGATGTATACAAGAGATTGGGCGAGCTGGACGAACTGGGCAACAATCTAAAGTAATATTATCTTCTCAGAGGTGATATCCGTACACTATTAACAATCTTGAGTTGTGGGCAGGAATAATAAGTATACCATTGTAAAATTGATATTTTTTTATTAATCTTTTATATTAGCTTTCCATTTCCACAAATTTATATCACTTAAATACTATTATGGATAAAAAAAGCAAAAAATTATGTCAATGATACTATTTACAGATGCAGTTTATAAATACCGTCAACAACTGGCATATTATCCTTTTCTCTGGCCTGAGAATCTAATAATTCCGGAGTGAAAATTGTAAAGAACGGGAAAAGGACAAACCTGATATGTGTAATGTAACAGTAAAGGTGACCCGTGATAACGTGGATGTGTTCTATAGAAAAAAATAATAATGTAACCAAAAAGAATCTCAATCAAGTATCAGAATACCACTCAACCCGTTTTCAAACAAGATTACATTCAAAAAAAATGTGCTTTTATCTGTTGGATTCTTTAATTGATAATTGAATTATAATTCAAACTGTTACCTTCAAAGTATCCGACCTGAATCTTCGATATTAACTATCAGTTATAAATTATAGGAGTTTGTGAAAATGCCGAGGGTATCGTTTCTACAAAAGTTTGGCAGCTGTTTTTGAAATAAAACAATAGAAACAATAAAAATGTGTAGATATTTGCGTATAATAAATTAATTTTATTGGCTAAAAAAAACGCGGTATGGTGATACCAATTTTTATCTATTTTTATCTTGTTACACATGTCGATCCCGGAGTCAAAGTATTTTTTTATAAATTGCTATATACAGTCAGACCTCTATAATTGCACTCTCCATAATTGCACCCACTATGTATACCCTCTCTAAATGCACCCTCTGGTTCGGTCCCAAGCTTATATGATCTCTAATTATTTTACCTCTATAAATGCACACCCTCTTTAAATGCACTATTTTGAAAATTATGCATATGGTCCCAAGGGGTGTGCAATTATGGAGGTCTGACTGTAATACTAAGTGGTAGTACAAATTTGTGTATAAAATCTAATTAATAAATAGGTACTGCTTTTTCTCTTTTATTTTTTCCTGTTTTTTTTTTATTTCTGCCACATTTTTATTCTTCATCCAATTGTTCATTTTGATATTTTTTTTTCTATTATAATATAATTGAGATTAAATATAAAATTATAATTCATATCTGATATTATTCAAATTAATTAGTATGAAAGAAAGGCCAAAGAATTTATGGAAATATATTGATACCAAGAAATATAAATATCAGGTAATATAAATAAATTCACATTATTATTAATAATTAGAGAAATGTTGAATTTATATGGTTAAAAAATGATAATTTTTTGATATTCAACAGTATCATGCTACAATTCCTACTACCAATTTAACTAATGAATTAAACGATGATGATGAAAAAATAGTTTATATGTATGATTTAGAAAAAAGAAAACAAGTGTATGGAATATGTGGAGAATGTAATGAACCTGGTACAGGACGGAGATGGTATCAACCTTGTAATGCTAAAAGGTTTAAGGAAAACTTTAAAAATTGGACTAGTGGAAATAAAGATATTGATGAATTTATACAACAATCACAACTTAATACTGTATATTATAGAAATTGTCTTGAATGGATTCCTTATGAAAATTTTCAAAATATTACTTATATGGCAGAAGGTGGTTTTAGTAAAATTTACTCTGCTGAAAGACTTGAAGGTCATATTAAATATTGGAATATTGAAGATCAGAAATAGCATAGGGTAGTTAATTACAAATATGCATTGAAAAGTTTGAATAATTCTTCTGATATAAGTTCAGATTTTTTTAATGAGGTAATTTAAATTTACTTTATCTTATATTTAATATTGTTACTTTCATTCATTCATTGAAAAATTTTCCTTTTATCAATTAGATTAAATCTCATCTTCAGATTTATCTTTATGATATTGTTCGATGTTTTGGAATAACTCAGGATCCAAATACTAAAGAGTATATAATGGTTTTGAAATATTGTAAAAAAGGAGATTTGAGAAATTATATAAATAAATCTGAAAATTATATAGACTATGGATCAAAAGTTGAGGACTTTTAGATGTTCACAATTCTGGAAATATTCATAAAGATCTTCACTCTGGCAATATATTATTTAATAATAATGATCCATATATAAGTGATTTAGGAATGTGTCAACCAGCAAATAAAAAGCAATTAGTTAAAGGAATTTATGGAGTAATACCATATATGGCACCAGAAATTTTACGTGGTCATCAATATACAAAATCAGCAGATATTTACTCTTTTGGAATAATAATGAATGAGTTTCTTTCTGAAGAAATTCAACTTAATAATATTCTTCATGATGAATTTTTAGTTATTAAAATATGTAAAGGATTCAGACCAAAAATTTCTAAAGATGTACCAAAATTACTTGCAAATTTAATAATAAAATGTTGGGATGCTGAAATAGAAAATAGACCAACCACTAAAGAATTATATCAGATATTAAAAAAATGGAATGACGAGATTATTTATGATGAAAATAGTGAAATTTATTTTCAGATAAAAAAATGTAATATTATTGGAAGAAAAATTTCGAAAACAGAGAAAACAGACAAAGCAAAGATAAATCCAAAAACATCGCCACACATCCACAAGCAATTTATACTAGTAGAGCTTTAAATTTTAAAAATCTTCCAAAACCAGTAAATTCTTCAGATTTATCATCTTTTCAATTTAATTCAGGTAATTTAATTTACTTATTTTAGTTATGAAAATCCATTTTTTTATTTTATTTTTTTCTGATTAGATGCTAATTGTGATATTCAACCAACGAATCCAAGTAAGTATCTTTTTAATTATCATTATTATAAATCATTGTATTAATACTTATTAATTGGTCAAATAATATTTTATGAAACTTATAGTTTCAGAATGTTTAGATGTTCAATTAAATGAATCAGGTAAGTTTATCATTTATTTGTAATTTTTTCTGATTTATGTATTTATTTATTTTAGAACTAAATGAAATTTATCAAGATGGTGAAAATAATATTGAATGAAATCAATGGATTAAATAACAATAACTAAGGAGCATATTTAATAAGTTAGTGTTTCATCAGGAAATTTTTTATGTGTAGAAAATATGTAAAATTTCGTGCCACCATCCGTCCATTAACTCTAGTATTACCATCTAAATTAAAATATTATAATGCTATTTTTGTCATCAATTTTACTTTCTATCAATTTCAAATAACAGGACTCAATTTAACCAACCAAAAATCCATTATCTAAATCTAATTAACATTTATGAATTTGTGAATAACATTTTCTTGCAATTTTATCAAATCTTTCAAGCAAGAGTAACTTTAGGAATTCTACACCTGAAATATATTTTATGGCTAAAATATGATTTAACCATATCTAATAGATGACTTGATAGCATTGAAAGAATTTAAATATAATTCTATTACTGTCCTATTTGCTTTTAGGTTTTTTGGTCAGTTACAAAATTATAGAATTAATCAATAAATTTGTTTCTCCAGAAATCTTGTACCATGTTGTTATCTTTATTTGTGAATGGTCTTTTATTTTTAGAAATATAATTTGTAACATTAATATTGTCAATTCGGTAGTTATACAGTAATGGAAAATATCAAACAGCTAATTCATCCAGGAAATTTTTTTTTACTATTTTATATAATTAAAAAAAAAATGATTTATTTTATGTATAGTTTGATGATAATATGTGAATTGCTTATCAAGTTGCAACAAATACAATTCTATTTTATACAAAATTCAGTTTCTTTTTTTTTTCAAAAATGAAGTATTTTAACAATTAATTGTTATAAAGATGTAAGCTAAAAGATGCATAATAAATTTATAGAGAATATAGCATTTTTGTTATTGAGAATTTTTCTCAGTTAATTACAAAAATTTGATGTCACGTTTAATATTTTAGAAAGAGATTACACATTTCTACAGTATGCACGTTTAAGAGTTCATAAATTAAAAATATTAAAAATATTAGAAATTTATTTTCCCATATTCTCAAATAACAAAGGATTTTTGAAATGGTGGTGGGATAGAAACAATTCAATACTTACCAATTAAAAAATAATGAATATAAAAGTTTTTAATGTGAATTATTGTTGATTTTATTCATAAAATTGTATTTCCATTATCAGAGAATCATTATTATTAATAAATCTTTTTTCTTATATATTTCAATTTGTAATTTTTAAATTTTAAAAAAGTGATAATTTTTGATTATTAAGCTAAAGAATACTTAATAACTACAATACCATAAAATTCTATAAAAATCATAATTCTGCAAACTATTTATTAATATATGGTAAGAATAATATTTAAGTTTAGAAAAGTAAAATATATATAGATTAAGTGATTAACTATACATAATAAAAATAAACTGATTCTAGTAAATTGGATAGCATTGTAAGAAGATTAATTGATAAAAAAAGTGGCTAGAGATAGTACAACAGAAGCTTATAATGAAAATTTGATTAGATTCTATAATGGTAATATGATATCTATGATATCTAAACTACGGTAAAATTTGTCACGTGATTGAAGAATTTCTGGTGACGAAATCACACGTTCATTGAATCACGTGCTTGGGCTTTTTTTGACGGTTACACCGTGGAAATTAATAAGTTTATTAATATTTTTATCAGGGATGTGCTTGAGGTTTTTTAATATGGTACTGCGCCCACATTTAATAATTTATTAGGTAAATTCCGGCATTACAATATCCACAGTACAAAGCGCAGTTTATACTAACGTGAAAATCAATGATTTACAAAATATACTAGAGACTTCCCGTTATTTATAGTAATATATTTATATCAAAATTTGATTTGCGAAAATGACACAATATCTCAAATGGAGACTCTACTAAACATTGTTCATATTGTAAACCTTTTATTGAAGAATCATGGTGTAAAAATTGTGACTCACTTAGAATGATGGAAGGATGTATCAGTAGCGTTGACAAGTTTATAAAAGATACAATATATAATGCAAGAAAAGATGATTATAAATTTCTTGAACGGTTTCATTTGATAATTTAACAAATATAAAAGAAATTGAAATATATTCTGCAATATGGACATATGGTAAATCAAAATTAGTATATTTTTTATAATGTTATTATTAATTTAATTCATTATATCTTTATTAATGATAATTTATTTAAAAGTTATAGCTTAAAATACATTGGAATGCGTTTAAAGAATATGGATTAACATTGTACGGAATAACTAAAGATCCAGAAACTAAAGAATTTATGATGATTATACAATTTATTGATAAGGAAATTTGTGAAATCGTCTTTCAAATAATTTTGACAATATTTTTATGGATAGATAAAATTGGATTACTGCATCAAATATCAATAAAATTAATGCAATTACATGAATTAGAATACTTTAAGATTTTCATAGTGAAAATATCTTACAAGCTGATGAGGATATATCTTATATTTCAGATTTTGAACTATCGGGACTAGCAAATGAACAAAGATCAGATGATAAAGTATATGGAGTAATGCTATCCATATATTGCACCAGAAGTCTTAAATAGAGAACCATATACATCACCATCTGATATTTATAGTCTAGGTGTAGTTATGACTGAATTATTATCATCAGGAAAACTATCTTTTTACAATAAAAACTTAGTCATATGTAGTGGAATTTGCTTATAAATGTATGAATTCTAATTCAATTGAAAGACCACCAGCTAAGGATTAAAATAAATATTAACGAATTTATTCTGATTTTTTAACGAATATAATGAAGAATTATTGTTTATACCGATTTTGAGTTTTCATTAATTTATGAATATACCAAAGAATTTTTGCGAAATAACTTACTAAAACAACACATAAAATTAATAAGTAATGAATACGCGCTGTTTTTTTACTCTAGCTATTTTTAAAAATGCTGTAAGTAATAAACAACTCAAAAATATTCATATAGTGGCATAATAAATTTCATGTTAAAATTTTAAATTCGCGTAATTTACCAAATATTTCGTCAAATTTTTGAAAATTTTAAACTATTTCACAGTTACCATATAGTAAGTAATACAAATATCGGGGTTGACCTTGTACCGTACTGCACTGTACATAATATCTCGGTTATTATCGTATACAAAATACCTGATTTAAACATTATATTTTACCTGTGAGTACTTTGTGTGATAATGGGTATTGTGGATGGTAGGATATTATAAAGGGGAGTATTATATCATGGGGTATTTTATGAAGGAGTACAAATCATCATCTTAAATATTACATTGTGTTTTGAAATATTTAATTATTTTATAATGCTTTTATTTATCTTCATGAAACCTGTAGTCCGTTAGATTGTCCTTTTTTAAAAACATTTATTAATATTTTTATCGTAGAAATGGATTTGTTAATACAAGAGCTATTTACTACTTGACCATAATTTTCACACTTTAGTCATTCTTAATTTTTTACGCCTCATCAAATATTAATATGATTAATGCAAAGGTAATATGGAAGATATGGTCTCAATTCAAAAAATATATCTCTTGATACATAATTAAATAAATATCGTTTTTCTTTTTGCTTAAAATTTACTCAATTTAAAATTGCATAATAAACTTTTCAAAATTATTATATATTGTATCTTCCTCACTAGCGTAAAGACAAAAAAAGCTCATGTAATCTGTATCCAATGATTTTTGTTAATTAAAATACAGTATATTAATTAAAATTTTTTTCCAAACCAATTTATTTTTGATATATAATTTGGCAATGATTTTTCTATTATAGGCTTATTGCTATTTATTTTTTTGAAAAAATTTATATGATCAACATTACCGAAATAATTTTACTTCGCATTTTTCATTTTAACCATTTCGGGTTAGATTTATTTTTATGATGATCAGCTGAATGAGCTGATTTTCTTTGTTACAAAAATAGTAATACAAATAAATAATACAAATGTGCGCAATTTACTGAACTTCGTTCAATTCATAATTTTTTTCTTTTGCCTATAATAATTCTGAAATTTATTTTGAGTAACGTAGTTATTTATTTATATAACTAAAATTAAAATTATAATCCACAGCTCAATTAATATGGATGAAACCCCTAAAGATTTATGGAAGAGTACTGATTTAAGTAAATATCGGGTAATGGCAATTTAATAATTATAATTATTTTGTTGAATTTTTGTAGTTAAAAATATTAATAATTTTTTGTCTATTAAAAGTTCCATGTTACATTTCCTACTATTGATTCAACTATTGAATCAGAAAAAGTAAATGAAAGAGTAGTTTATATAGGAGATTTAGAAAAAAGAAAACAAGCGTATGGAATATGTGGAGAATGTAGAGAACCTGGCACAGGAGAAAGATGGTGTCAATCTTGTAATGCTAAAAGATTTAAAGATAACTTTAAAAATTGGACTAGTGGAAATAAAGTTATTGATGAATTTATACAGCAATCACAACTTAATGCTGTACATTATTTGAAATATCTTGAATGGATACCTTTTGAGAAATTTCAAAATATCTCTTATATTGCGGAAGGTGGTTTTGGTAAGATTTATTCGGCTGAATGGCCTGAAGGATATATTTATTGTTGGGATATTGAAAATCAAAAATGGAATAGAAATTCATATAGTAAATATGCATTGAAAAGTTTGAATAATTCTTCTGATATATGTTCAGATTTTTTAAATGAGGTAATTTAAACTTATTTTTTCTTATATATAAAGATTGTTATTTGCATTTATTTATTAATAAAATTTTTCCTTTTTGATGATAATTAGATTAAATTTCATCTTCAGATTTATCTTGTTGATTTTGTTCAATGTTTTGGAATTACTCAAGATCCAAATAATAAAGAGTATATGATGGTTATAGAATATTGTAAAGATGGAAATTTGAGAAATTATTTAAATTAATCTTAAAATTATTTAGATTATTAATCAAAAATTAATTAATTACAATAAATTGCAAGAGGACTTTTAGATATTCATAATGCTGAAAAAGTTCACAAAGATTTTCATTCAGGTAATATATTATTTTATGGTGATGTTCCATTTATAAGTGATTTTGGAATGTGCCAACCAGCAAATATAAAACAAACAGATAAAGAAGAAGGAATTTATGGAGTATTACCATATATGGCACCAGAAGTTTTACGTGGACAACAATATACAAAAGCAGCAGATATTTACTCATTCGGAATAATAATGAATGAATTTCTTTCTGAAGAAATTCCTTTTAATGATATTCCTCATGATGAATTTTTATCTATTAAAATATGTAAAGGACTTAGACCAACAATTTCTAATGACATACCAAAGTTACTTGCAGATTTGATAATAAAATGTTGGGATGCTGAAATAAAAAATAGACCAACCACTAAAGAGTTGTATCAAACACTAAATGAATGGAATGATGAAATTAAAGATAGTGAAGATAGTGAATATAGTGAATATAGTAAATATAGTGATGATGAAGAAGATGGCGAAGATAGTGAAGATGGTGAAGATAATGAAGATGAAGATAGTAAAAATGGTAGCAATAGTCAAAATAGTGAAATATATTTTCAAATAAAAGAATGTGATAAAATTAGAAAAGAAAAATTCAAAAACAGGTCAAATGAAGATAAATCCAAAAGCTTCAAAACGCATCCACAAGCAATTTATACTAGTAGACTTTTAAATTTCAAAAATCTTCCAAAACCAGTAAATTCTTCAGATTTATCATCTTTTCAATTCAGTTCAGGTAACTGAATTTAATTTTGTTTTATCATATAATCCATTTTACATTATTAATGTTATTTTTATTTTTTAATAGACACTAGTTATACTACTCAATCAACATCAGCAAATCCAAGTAAGTATTCCCTTTTATTATTATAATTATTTTATTTAAATTTATTAACGTCTAAATACTATAAATACATAATATACAGTTTCAGAATGCTTAGATGTTCAATTAAGTGAATCAGGTAATTTATTATTATTATATATAATTTTATTGATATTCTATATCTAATTTATTCTTTTTATAGAATTAAATGAAATTTGTCAAGATATTGAACATAGTAATATTGAATGAAATTTCTTTTTATGTGAAAGTTAAAGTCAAATAGTTTAAATATTAATTCGTGTATTGAAGTTAGTTTACTTCTATTTTTCTTTCATTTATACTTTATAAATTTTTATAATATATAGTGCATATAGATTTATTTGATTTTATATTTAAGAATATTCTATATAAATGAAGATTTTAAACACAGTAAGTATCAAATATTCTGCTCAATGTATCTTCGCTCAATGATAATTGTTACAAATTCTTGGTGAAATTTCATTTGATTATATCATTTTATGTATAATTAAATAAATAAATGGTTTTGGTTAATACTTAAGGTACAGTAGTTAGATTAGGTTAATTAAAATTCTTTTTTCTTTTTGAGATGAAAAGGATTACAATTAATAAGATGATATTCTATCAAATTATATAAGCGTAATAAGCAGACATGTTATTTTTCCTTCACTTTCTTTTGATTTTCTCAATTAACCTAATTGATTTTTATTTCATAATGTAAATCCTAATCTTTCACAATAAATTAAATAATTTACGTTTATTTTATCAATGATTATTAAATATCAACTACCTCCATTCAAATCATTCCACCATTTGCATTTAAAAAAAGAATTTTTTAAACGGAGTAGCCCTTTAGAAAAGTAACAACAAATAAATAATAGTTATTGGATGGAGGAGCTATATCAGTCACAGGACCTAATTATTTGATGAAAATGGGCATGTAGTAGCCATTTTCGCCAATCAATAAAAATCTTTGTGACCGATATAGCCCCACATCTAATAATGGTGTTATCGTTTGACGTTTTTGATCATGCAATAATTAATAACATCATAAATAAGTTTTATTTAGCTTTCTATAAATTTCATTTCTATGCTATTTTTAATCCACTTTATTAGCTTTATTTAAACTTTTCTCATTTACACCATATTTTTTACTTCACTTTATTATATCAATCATGCGTTATTGCTATGCCTAATAAAAATATTGGTCTATGAAAATCTGCATGGATCCTATTGGACTGAACATAATATTATTTATCCCTTAAATGGTAATGCTGGCAAATTTGCCTGCAATTTTTTAAAATAAATTATATCCAAACACAAACTTTGTCAATATGATTTGGATTATCCTATAATTCCGCAGTTATATTGATCTGCATTCTTAGCATCAATTGTATGGTTCGATATGTGGCTAATCACCAAAATTAGACACAAATAAACCTCGAAAAAATAACGTCAGAATTTTTATATAATAAATTAATTTTCTTTATCATAATATTCTGCTTCATTACAAAGCATTTTAATATACAGTACTTATTTATTTTTATTATGAAACTTCAAACCCTAATGAACAAAATAAAGATGATAAAATTTAACTTATGCATTTTTTTACAAGTTCACAAAAATAAACCATTTTTTAGGGTTCTATATAAAGTCAAATTGCCACATCTAAACATTAAAAATCATAATAATAAACAAGATGAACTGGAAATTCCAGATGTTAAGCTCTTAAATAAATAAGATTTCTTTTTAAAGCAATCAACTAATTTACTAATTTGTTATTTTTTATCTTTAGATGGATTTTAAATTGAAATAATTGAAATCAAATTAACAATATTTATTATATTTTAAATTATTATCATTTATTTATCTATTTTTTTTTTTTTATTTTGAATTATTTAAACACTAAGACTAAGAGTAGTAAAATGGTTTACAAAATTCTTAGTTTGTAATTTAAATAATTTTAATAAATTTATTCAAATTATTAAATGTAGTAAATTAACAATAAAAATACTTAGTGGCCGTTACAACCATACAGTGCTGGCAAAAAGTACACCTCTGTGCTTGTCTTATAATAAAAATAAAAATAACTTGTTTTATCGATATGTGTTACTGAAATTATAACAGATAACGATAATTTATTTAATTATTTGTATCCAATAAATTAAATAGAATTTTACTTTTATGGGAAAATTGATATGCTGAAAATAAATTATGAAAAATTATAAAGATTTAATATATTTTTGTATAAAAAGTAATTATAAATCATTTTTTTTTCCAGGTGAGTTTAATTGAGTAAAAATATTCATCCCAATTTCTAGTTAGAATTAATTTTTTCAGCTAGAATTGAGTAGAAGTTTGTTAATTTTAGCTAAATGTTTATTACTCGCCTCGTGAATAATGAGTAAACGGTTCCAACCTAAAATATCAAGACTTTATGTGCTAATTTACTTGATATTCATTAATTTATAAACAATTTCTATTTTTCCCCACATAAAAAAAGAAATATTCTACAAATTTCATATTTTTAAAAAAAATTTTTTTTTTCGTAAATCTGGCGAAACTTGGCGTAAAAATTTCACGACCGTTAGAATACATAGTATGTTTTCATTAGTATAGCTCTTACACTTGCTGATAAAATTTCTTCGTTTAAAAGGTAATGAAGGATTATTTTTCGCCTACTTTTTGTTTAAAGGTAATAATTGATTAACATAAATTTGTTACGAAATAATGCAGTTTAATTACCAAATCCCTTTTGCTTGTTAAGAAAATCTTTAAATACGTTTTCGATACTTATAGCAAAATATCCATATAAAAGGTACAGTATGTAATAATTCCAGCATTATTAACGTGATAGCTAGACCAATAAAACTTCTCCAAAATGTGCTATTTCTGCTTTTGGTTTTAACATGGTACAATGTTTCACGTCATTGCTATCAGTTTAAACAACTTTGAAAGTTCTTTTAATTATTTGCCGGTAATGAAATCGAATCCCACCTTAATTACTAAATTAAATAAAAAAAATAATATTATAATATTGTAAGTAAGAAATTGGCTGATAATAAAAGCGTGATCATTATTATAAGGTTGTAGGTAAAAATTATTTAATCATTGGTGCATTTTTAACAACTTGGAAAATTTACAAAAAACTTGTGAACCATTGGGATATTCTTCAAAAATTTTACACAAATGATGAGTATAATTTTCTAATGGCCTGAAGTCCTAGTAAATGATTTTTTGCATTGAAAAGCGAATAAAAACGATGTTTAAAATAAGGTTCATTTTATAGAGTCACTCACCAAATAGATATAGTCATCAATAATATCATACAGATATATTTAAAAAATGGATAGTATGTATTGTCTTATACTCTTAAATGTTTAATGAAATCTATAATAATTCTTTTTTTCTGCAACAAAAAATTATTAAGAGATGATCTCTGAATTTTTTTTTGAAAAAAAGTTTTATTGATTAGAAAAATTATCTAAAACATGGTTAACTTTTAATTTTTATAAGCTCATTATGTTACGAAAAAGGGAATAAAATTTACCTGAAAATATGTTACTATATTACATTAAATATCGAAATATTATGCACTTTATAATCAAAATTGAATTTTTGATTTCGCCTTTTCATTCGAAACTTCAAATTTGGCTCATTAAACATCAATTGCCAATAATAAAAAAAAAATTATCCTAATTAATAACTAAAATAGATATTATTAAAAAAAAAAAGAAAGAAATTAATCCATTATTAAATATTTAATATTTTTTTATTACCATTGAAATTTATTAATAATAGACACAAATATGGCAATTAAATTTTATTTTACTATGAATTTAAAGTTTCCATTTTTTGAATTCTATGATGATTTAATAAAATAAGTTTTTTTCCAAAAATATCAAAATTAAAATAATTCTAGCCTACAAAAGCTTAACCTTAACGTCATTTGTACCTTTGTAGTTTTTACATCAAATATGTACAATAAAAAAAATAATAAAAGATCCAAGTTGCGGATTATTTTGTCTATATTGTATGATCAGATGATCATTATTTTGTTTACAATGCAGCACATGACAGGACTGACAGGTAGACAATATTAAAATTTTGGTGGTTGTACAACTTATTTATTTCTTAAAAAATTATAATTTAGAAAAAGATTATCGTCATTATTTTATAGAAAAATAAAATTATCAATTGTAAAGTATATTAGGATTTATTATCAGTAAGTAAACATATCGGATAAGTGGATATTAATCATACCGTATATTTTTACTTAGGGTAATTTTTATTTTCTAGAAAAGTAAAGTTGATTTTTTATAAGAAATTATTACCCATCAAGTTACACAAATTAAGCCAATTAAATACAGTATCTCAAATTTATCCTCATATCTAACATGTTTTATTATATTATTACCCATAATTTCTGATAAAATATTTCATACCACGATAATTTATGGCTATTTGCGACTTTAAAATGAATATTGTATACATTAATGGATTTTTTTTATAAATTACTCTCATACAAAATGAGATAACAAGTATATTTTCTATTATTACATTATTATTTTACTATTATTTTTACTTGTTTTTATTGGCCTATGATAAGTCATCCTTAATAAAGAACCATTACTATTATTATTATAGCCCAAAATAAATCGTCAAAAGTTTCTGTAGATTTTACTTCCACTGCATCTTCATTCAATAATTTTTTTTTCTTTATAGACGGCTACTAAAAAACCACATTTTTTTTAAAAAAAAATAATCGAAAAAAAAGATTAAGATTAATTAAAAAAAAAGATTGATAAAAAAAATCAGCATTTTTATCTAATTTGGGAAACAATATTAGATCGACTCAATCAAGTTGGGAACGACCTTATTATTATCATTGTTATAAGTCATACTTCAGCGTCACCATAAAAAATCCCTATCATGTGATTATTTAGTGACACCTAATTTTTTTTATGATCCTGTGATAGTAAATAATTTTTATGGTGTCGTAATAATCATTGGCAAGATGATAAGTGTTCAAGGACCCAGTAAGAAAATTTTTCGCCACCTGACCCTTAATTATGCGTACTACACATATAAAAAATCTCTGCGTATAGCTCATAGAAATAATAGAAATATATATACAGTATATGACATCTGATATTGAAAATCCTGCAAAAATACGCAAATAAAATTTCAGACATTAAGTTATTAATTATTTTATCATGACTTCTATATTATTATAAAACCAAATACTAATGAATTTATCCTAATTTACCATTTTTTTCAATAATATTTTTCTAAAATTTCACTTTTTAACCCTTAGAAATTTCTTTCAATTAATACTAAATATTACAATGCGGTTAACGTACAGTAAATATATTATATATATTAGATTAGCCAAATTTAGGCCAAAAATACGCAAACTAATTTTTTACATATAAAAATTTTGATAAAAAATACGCAATCTTGATGACCTAACTATTCTTAAATTGTACGCAAATCAAAACTTTACTCCGTCTAATTCCACTATGATTGCGATGCATCTGTGTACCCTACCTCTGTATTTCTGGGTCCTAGTGCTCAAGCAAAATTTCTATATTCACCTATTAATACTTGTTTACATAGTTATATGTTTATTGTGTGTATTGCAAGTGTTAAACATAATACGGTATATCACGTGTACACACATTTATGAAAACATCTGTAACCGATTATTATTCGATTATGAAGATTCGATATTATTAATAGAGTCGTGATATTTACTTTTAGCAAATAAGTATTAATTATTTACTATGATTAGTAATAAACAAATGGGGGATGATAACCCATTTGTTTATTACTAAGCATAGTAATTATCATCCTGGACGCGGGCATCTAGTTGATCAGTGATCAACATATAAGCTAAACTATTTTAGACTTTTGTGTATTTGTGTATTTGTCAGCTTGACGACTTCAGTCGTGACTCTTTGATTTCACTAATTGTAATGTAGCTATAAATATTAGTGAATGTATTAGCAAACCAATAAAAATCAATAAATTATAACTATTTCTATTAAACTATAACTACTATAATACTAGATGCCCATTAGTGACCAAATATATCGTTATGTGATGAATTTTTTTAAGTTTATTTTAGCATAAATAAAAAAAAATTGTCCAAATTTACAATCATTTTTATATTATGAAAAATTGTTCTCATTTGTCAGGTTATAAACTTTATAATATTCCATGATTTATGTAAAAATTAAGATGAAATTTCAAACTTGAAACTTCATATATTTTAATTATTCATAGTTGTTTAATTATTAATTATTATGCAGCCTTACAAGAGTTTGATTTGTGTGACATAAAGTTTTATAAAATGCCGTAAAAATGACATCAAAAAAATTCTAGAACAGTGTTACCAAGTCCAAAAATTTTTATTAATAATTATAATATTCAATAAAAATTGTATTTTTTCGCATACATGATCTTGATAAAACCGTTAGAAACTGCGTCTAAGTGTGACGCCTAATTTAAGACGAGTTCTTATAATTCCATCTGTTTATCAATATTTAGGATACAATATTATTGAATTTATTATCATATTACTAAAGCCAAGATGATTTCTTAATTATTATCATAATTTTATCTTGAAAATATAGAAACGTTCTTTTTAAAAAAGTTAAAAGAATACATGGTAACCTAAATAAAAAAAGCACGATACGTAAATTATCTTGATATTTTGCTATCAGATTATAAGGTTCGTCAGTTGAACACATCTTAATTTTTTTTTACTATTGCTTTGGTCTTCTCTCTACTGAGAAATACACGAGCTTTTAAAGGTTGTACGGGAAAGGATTTTATTTTTATTTTTATTTTATTTTTAGACGAATTTTAAGTCAGCAGTTTTTTGATTCGTTGCCTTTGCCGAATTTTATTAATAGTTTCTTCGGTATTAAAGGACTTACGTAAACTAAATCACTCACGAATCTCTCTATATCAAACACTTTCATAATATCAAGCTGACAAATACACAAATACAAAAATAGTTTATTTTATATGGTGATCACTGATCAACTAGGTGCCCGTGTCCAGGATGATAAAAAAGTTATTTATTATGCTTAGTAATAAACAAATGGGTTATCATCCTTCTACTAGCATAATATACTTAGGAGGTATCGATTATTTAATAAATATCCTTTTAGAAACGTTTTCTCTAAGTCAATCCGCTGCAAATACATACTTTAATATTGTATGCATATTATTAATTAAATTTGGCGCAAAACATATAAATGATTTTCCAGATTAAATCCGGTTTATTAAAAATTTGGGTTTATCAGTTATCTGTTATTAAAATTAAATAAAAGCACTTGGAATTTTATTGATTTGCTTCAAAGAAATTTATTTTTTTGATTTTTTTTCTTCCTTTTCTTTTCTTTTGAGATGACTTTTCTTCGTGAACTTGGTAAAACTGGTGTAAAAATCCCTGCAATCGGTTTGGGATGCATGGTATACTCTGCACTTTATACTTCATAATTATAATTACTTGCCTATTACGTGATTCTGATATTTTGTTTGGTAGGGCATGAGTGAATTTTACGGTTCAGCTGATGAACAGGAAAATATTAAAGTATTAAATCGAGCAATTGATATAGGATGACCTTTTGGGATACTGCTGTTTGTATTTAAACTCTTCAAATAAATTTAAAATTTTAATATTATTTTAAATAATAAATAATGGTGTATTACTTTTTTTTAAAAAAAATGTAAAGGATATGTATGGATCCGGAGCCAATGAAATCCTTCTTTCAAAAGTTCTTAAAGAACGTCGTAATGAAGTTTTTCTTTGTACAAAGTTTGCATTCTCTCGAGGACCAAATGGCGAATATAATATATCAGGCAAACCTGAATATGTTCGTCAAGCTTGCGAAAATTCTTTAAGAAGATTGGGAGTAAATTATATCGATCTTTATTATCAACATCGTGTAGATCCCAATACGTAAGTAAAGAAAATTTTTTATTCCTACTGAAAATTTCATAATAAATTAATTATTCATTTTAAATTTTTTATAGACCAATTGAAGACACTGTCGGCGCTTTAGCAGAACTTGTTAAAGAAGGAAAAATCAAATATATTGGTCTTTCTGAATGTTCCGCAGAAAGTCTTCGACGTGCTTACAAAGTTCATCCTATTGCCGCAGTTCAAGTAATAATATCAATCTTTTATTATATCAACATTATTATTTAATTATTAAATTATTAAGCATCATTTTTTTTTAAGATGGAATATAGTCCTTGGACTCTTGATATTGAGACAAATGGAGTTTTGGAAGCTTGTCGTGAATTAGGTGTTACTATAGTAGCTTATAGTCCACTCGGACGTGGCTTTCTAACAGTAATTATCTCTTAAATTATTTGTATATATACTGCATGTAAAAAAAAAAGAAAATCAAGAATACTTTTCTAACTACAATGAATTTTAAATTACTTTTTTTAGGGAAAATATAAATCTCTTGATGATTTCGAACCTGATGATTTTAGAAGAGATGTTCCACGTTTTCAAGGTGAAAATTTCAATAAAAATTTGGAAATTGTACATAAATTCGATGAATTTGGTAGTAAGAAAGGCGTAACTGCGGGTCAACTTTGTCTGGCTTGGGTTATAGCTCAGGTTAATATACTTAATATCTTAAAAAATATTATATAATATAATATTCATAATATTTTTTTTTTTCTTTTTTATATTTTATAGGGTAATGACTTTGTTACTATACCTGGTACAAGAAAAATCAAATATTTGGAAGAAAATTTTGAAGCAAGAAAAATTCATCTTAGTTCTGAAGAATTATCAGAAATTAGAAAAATTATTGATTCTATTGAAATTATTGGTACTAGATATAGTGAAGATAGTATGAAGGTAAGGAAATAATAATTATCTATATATGTTAACTTTTTTTTACTTAATATTAACAGTTTTGTCAAACAAAAAAACAGTTTTTGAATGTTTAAAAAAAAAAGCCATCCCGATAATAAATAATTATATTAATCGCTGATCCGTCTAAGAAACGGCACTATCGTATATATAAAATACATATAGAGATTGAAATCTGACGCGCGTACAATGTAAAGTCATTCTTAGTTATAATTATTTAACATATTATGTTTTTGGGTTTTTTTTATAAATATCATAAGATTTTTAATAAAAATATTGAGTTATCAATTTTAGTATTTGTGAATTTATTGTCAACTATGCAATTTTCGTTAAATTCGCCCTGAACATATAATGTTAAAAAAGTAAAATCTTAAACGAATTAACAATTAAATAATTAATAAATATTTTTTTCTTAAGTGATTTGGAGTTGATTGATTATTACTATAAGGTATTATGTTCGGGTTTCCATCCTGCAATCAATATCCATCTGGTAACCCATTTCAATCAAATCTCCATTTTTGAGAATATTATTTGAAAGTACTGATATTTTAAAAAAAAAATCGTATGTAATGGAGAGTTTTAGATGAATAATTTTGAATTTGCGATGACGTGTTGATTCGCTTGCGCCTTATCTATTCCATAATTATTATGATGATTTAATTGCTGTCGGGTCATGTGTACATTCATAGTGATTACCATTGTTAATACATTTCCGGATAATGAGTTTTTAATCGATATTTTTTTTTTCTAATTAACGAAAAAAAGCTTAATTTATTTATTTATTTTAAGTAACGCATACTTCTTTATTACATTAAATGTAAAATATATACAAAAAATAAGGTTAGAAATAATATAGTAGTATATACAATATTTTTATTTTATTTTTTATTTTTAAAACCACGTGAACAAGATTACAGAAAGATAGACAAGAACAAAAGATAAAACAAAAGTCGAACGCTATCTAATACTAAGCTATAATCAAACCGCCCGAGGACAGCGCCACTCTGGTACTTTCAACGAACTTGGAGGAGTCCCTAACACGACATCACATCCCAATAAACCAAAGTAAAGGCTTTAGCACTATTGGTAGCCCAGGATAGGATTACTCCCCCTGGGTGTCGACTACCGAGGTAGTCTACCATTGGTTGATACCACGGTTGTGACCGAAGTCGGTGTGATACCATGATCTACGCACTTTCCCACCACTAGGGCTACGATCTACACCTTCTAGGCCTATGGTATAGGCCCACGCAGTATAATTCATAGAGCATCCGTTGGCTGGACGGATCGAACCTGCGTCCTCCATTCCTGTCTTAGACAATCATAGGAGGGGTACACCATGCCAGTGCACTAGGTCAGCCACGACCTTTAGTAGTATATACAATAAATATACACTATTTGCTAATTCCATAATCAGTCGTAATCATGTGATCGGCCACAGCAAAACGTTGATTTTAAAACCTTTTTTTCGGTCTCTTTGTTTAGACAACTTTCACTTAAAAAATCTTTTAAAAGCATGCCAAGCTCCACCATGAAAATGACCTCTTGTTAATATTGAATACAACCTTGACCATAATCTACCAACATTTTTCTTTGGAATTGTCATTCTTAACGTTAAAATAACTCCATAAGTTAAAATTAAAAGAATTAACGATAACAAAATTACAAATAAATGTAATAAAAAAAAAAAAGTATAAAATAACAGATTTCATTTAATTTAATTTGAAAATTATTTTTTTTATCTTTTTAAATTGAAGGGAAAACCTTTTTTAAATAAGAAATTTTTCTATGCTTAAATTAAACTTTGGAAACTTAAAATTTTGGAAATTTTGGAAACTTTGATTATTATTTAAGTGTACAGTTTATTTGTATTAAGTCCTTTATTCGTGATTGAATGTATATGCTGATGTAAAGTGCTATACTACACGTTTGATTGGATATTTTCGATATACCAGTTGATTATATACTGTTTAATATATACAAACCTTCTGCTTACATAATTAAATTAATATTTTTAGGTGTTAAAGAACTGACCCAACAATATCTAGGAACAAATTAACAAAATAATTAATATAGAAATTTGCAAGAATTATAGAAAAGTGTGAATTTTAATTTAACTTTTAATATATCCTCAATTCCTCATAACAAATAAATTTCTTAAAGAATATTGACATTACTTAACATCTCATTTACGTATTTGCATAACGCTTCGATATTATCAGCTTTTTTTCTTAAGTGGCTCATTTTGATCTGTCAAAACCAGAAAAAAAATAAATATTATTTTTTTCTTTTTTCCTTTTTATCTCCCATATAAAATTATTACTTTCCGTTCCAGAAAAAATCTACTGACAAATTTTCGTAAGGTAAAGATTAGGTAAAGTTTATTGTGGCTGAAAAAAAAATATTGAGCCAACTTTTCAGGATTCTGTAAAGCCTTGCGTGGTTGTTTTCAACGAAATGGATGCATTGAAATGACTTGTATAACGACTGACCTTTAATAAGCTAGTATTCTGTGACCTGTAAAACCTTGTGTAATTACGATTGTCATGGTGTTAACAGTTGATTATTCTGATTTCATATTCGAATAAGGTTATTAATTCTATCTTCTTTTTTACATTTCGTCCGAAAGTTTTTACTGTTGAAGTATTATACTTTATATGAAATTACGTGAAACTTAAAGAAACAGATAATAAATTAATTTTTTTTTTAGTTGTAGCTTGTTGCGTTGCAACAGTATTAAATGAGTTTAAATCAATATAACAATTAGATAAATTAGATCTTATAAATATTAACACGTTTTTTATTTTTAAGTAAAAAAATATACTTATCCTGACTAATATCATACAAAGCATATTTATTCAACAAAAAAAGTAGTTTATTTTAAGTAGTTTATTTTGATTATATTGTCAAACCTTAGAGGTGAAAAATGAAAAAAAAAGAAAAAATAGAAAAAACAAAATAAAAAAAAAGATCTATCCACAAGCAATAAGCCTTATTTGATTTTTCTGGAATGTTCTTTATATTCTCAAAATTTCAGAATATGGTAAATGTGTTAAAAATAAACATAATTTATTATACAGCTCCAGTCATAAAGTCCCAGCAACTCCAAAAATTAAGGTGCCAAATTTTACTTTAAAATCACGTGATAATTTGGCCAGCATTAAGAAAATTTTTTTTTATTTGAGATGTCTTTTATATTATAAAATTTTCTTTAATTTGTAACTAGAAGTAGCCCGCGGGATATATTCAATTTCTTTCGTAGAATTAATATATTTAATATATTTACAACTATTCAAGATTTTTTTAATTTTTTTATTAAATAAATTGACAATTTTTTTTTGCAAACTTAATGCATTTTTAATAATAAATCTATCTAATATCTTTTTTCTTTATTAAAGGGCATAACCACTTTTTTTTGTCAGAAATAAACTAAAAATGATCACCAGTTATGGAAGGTGAATGATGTGAATAATTAAATAAAATTTTTCAGTTATAATATATTATATTAATGATAATAAAATTTCACTATTCATTAATACAGTGCTCTGCTATGTTAGAGAGTAAATCAACATCATTTTCTCTACATGAACTTTTGTTAATGTTATTCTTTTTTGGGAATTATTTATTTATTTTTTTTTTTTGTATTTATCTTATAATTATTTTATTTATCTTATTATTTTTATTTATTATTTATTTTATCACTATTTCATAAATTATCAAATACTATTCGCAAATCGTCATATAATTACATTTACTATTTTGAAACAAAATCATTTTTACTCAATTACTATAGTAATTTCTTTTTATATATCTATTTGTGACAAATTATTATTGTATATTAATGTTTACTTGTTCATATTGACTATGATTGACTATAATAGACTTTGACGTCTATATGTCAATTTGAGTCATACTTATCACAAATACTAACTGTATGGTAAAATATTGACTCATATAATTAACAAAGAATATGTAATATGACTTTGATTGATATATTGATACTTTATACAGTCATAACTAATATGATGGATAATTACAAAAAATATATATTTGAAATGTATTAAATGTTCTTTATTCATTACTGTTAAAAATTATTCCAAATTATACTGCCTATAAGAAATATTTTTTATATATAAATACCCTTTCTATATTTATTCTACTACAATCAATCTACTACTACTTTTTTTTATTTAAATTCTTTAATTATTTTCTTTGTTTACTTCCAACAAAGAACGTCTAAGAACTATTTTGGTTAAAATGGTAATACTCTTTAAAGAAGGCAGATAAATTATCATATTGGTGAATATTATTATAATATTATTGTTAATTCAATATTTCAGATAACTGGAAAGACATTAATAATGCATGGACACTCATTTCATAGAGAAAGTGAAAATATTGAACTTTGAATAAGATTTTAAAGAAAGGTGTGTTTTAATTTTTATTTTGCATTGTTGGGGTAACTCCTAAGCGAGTCGAGGAATTCCTTGTTGATTTAGAAGAGTTATTGACTATACAACCTTAAAGAATCCTGAATTGACAACATTGGTAAGTTAACATTGGTTTAGAAGATTACAATTTTGTAGTAAATTAAGAATTTGATTTAGGAGAATTAATCTTGGTAGTGAGATAAAGAATTTTTGGATTGATTTAAAGAATTACATCATTGACAACTTTGGTAGTAAGTTAAGGAATTACTGGTTTGATTTAGGAGAATTACTGTGTTGACAACCTTGGTAACCAATCCAAGCTCTCAATTCAGGCGCCCCAACTTTGTTGTTGATAAAAGTCTGCTAATTCTGGAGGAGGAATTGGCTATGTACCTTCTTTTATTACTAAATAGAAATTTTGGCACACTACTAATAATCTTTTTTTTTAACAGACAAATATAGAATATTTAAGGCTATTTAATAAGTATGTGAAAAAATTAAAATCCAATAAGTTAAAGAAATTTGTTATATTAGTAATTAGCTTTTATTATATATTTTATAAAAATCTGTTAATAAAGTAGATACTAACTATGTATAATAAGATTTAGATTATTTTGGTTTATATATATATACTGTATATTAAACTT